TTGATATAACCACTTTTCTTGCTGCCCCTCGTCTCACTCAACGTGTTCGTCTAAAAAGTGGTCGTGTTTTAAGTTTTTCGGAGGTTGGAGATCGTAACGGTTTCCCTGTATTCGTGTTTCTTGGAATGGGTTGTGTACGTTACTTTATTGCTTTTTTCGATGATCTCGCAGCAAGTTATGGTCTAAGATTAATTTGTCCTGATCGACCTGGTGTTGGACTATCTGATAATGTAAAAGTTGAAGAACAACAAGTATTAAAATGGCCAGGTATTATTTAATTGTACTTTATTTTATATTTGATTTCTGAATCCTCACTTGATGATATTCACAACGAGAAAATTTCCGTATGATTGTAGAGGTAATCGAAGAATTATGTGACATAATGAGCATCAATAAATTCTTTATTATGGCACATAGTGCTGGTGCACCTTATGCGCTTGCTTGTGCCTTGAAAATGCCTGAACGATTACAAGGCACCGTTTACCTCGTATGTCCTTGGGTGAGCACAGCAATTGCCAATAATTTCAAATGGCTACGATATGTTCCAACTCCGATCATGAAATTTACAAACACCGCTGGAATATCATTACAACAAATGCTTTACGGTCGACAACCATACGCCACTAAACCATCATCACATCGAAATTCAGGGGCACTAGCATCCCCATTATCAAGTCTCGATAAGAAACAGCAATTAGGCCTCGCTATCTTAAAAGCTTCCTTCGCAGAAAATCTTGCTGGTGCTAATAATGATCTATTAATGTGTTTTGAACGACGCCATGCTTTTGGTTTCTCTTATACTGACGTAAATCATCCGGTGCACGTTTTCCATGGTACAAAAGATGAGCGGATTCCTGTGTCGGCAGTCAAATGGATGGAAGACGAAATGCCTCAGTGTAAATTAACATTGATCACAGGTGGAAAACATTCGTTGCTGCTACGTGCTGAAGTAGTTGACACGATATTCAAATCGATTGCTGTCCAATTACACGTAGAAGATGAATGTAGATTATGCAAAATATCATCAAAATGTTGGTTAATGGAAGAAAAACATAAAGAGGAGGAGGAAAAACGTAAGGAGGAAGAGGAAAAACTTAAAGAGAAAGAGGTGATAGATGACGATAATGAGCTAAATGTTATTGACGGTGATGAGCAAGTAAAACAACAATCAAAGAAATCATCGAATCGACGACGCAGTCTACCATTAAAAATCAGAAATTCCAAAAGTCTTAAATTTAATTCGAGAAAGTCAACCGGAAAACTTAAAACACGACCACTTTTTAGACGAACACGTTGAGTGAGACGAGGGGCAGCAAGAAAAGTGGTTATATCAA